AAAAAGGAGGGCGCGGCCTGCCGGCACGGGAGGGCGAGACGAAGGTGAAGGGCTGCCACAGGCCCTCGGGCTCCTCGGGGAACAGCGGTCCGAGGTTCCCGCTGCCTGGCCCTGCGCCTTCTCCGCCTCTCCTTCCCCAACCCACCGCTCCAGACCACCCGTGTGGGTGTCCTCAATCAGCTTCTGAGCCCTTTGGCTGGAGACAAACGTGGGTGATCAGAGCCAGTCAAACCCAGCGCCTGTCCAAGGCTGCCCCAGTGGGCTCCCAGCAGGGAGGGCTCACCCACCCCCGGCTCTCCCCGGGCTTTTTACCTGAACCGCAGCACCGACCTCGCAGACACCCGGCAGTCCCAGTACCAACCTACCTGCCGCTGGAAGGGTTGGCGTGTTCTGCAAGACTTAAGAAATATTCCCTGACTTGGTCCCTACAAGAGCTGGAAGCCGCCGAACAGGAGGGGGAGATGCTGGCGATGCCGCGACGAGGCAGAGGAGCGGCGCTGGGGCTCCCGGGGCTGCACAGCAATTCGGGCTTTGCTTTCCTCTGCAAGTCAAGTCACTGAGAAGAAGCCAGCGGCTCTCCCCGAGGCAGGACCCTCCCCGGGCAGCAAGGAGGTACACACTGCGCCCGCCCCCCACTTTGAAAGGGGCACCTCTAATGCCCCCTCTCATCAGTGGCATCCCAGATTCAGTCTTCCCTAGGCTGGGTTTATACCCCTCCCTCCCTCAAAAAAAAAAAAAAAAAGTATTTTTCCTTAATAAAAAATGTAAACAATATTTTCTTATCAGCTGGAAACCACAACAGAAATGTTGTGGAGTTCACCATCATTGGAAGTGACCTTGCCCAGGGGGGTGGCTGGGCTGAACGTACCCTGAAAACCCCCGCGTACAGCCGCCCCCGGCAGCCCCCGAGGGCTGGGAGCAGCGGCTGTCTCATTTGGATTGATTTGCGTCTCCCCACAGCTCACAGACAGATTCAGGGGGAGCCCAGAGGAACGAAAAGGCTCTCCTTTTCCTCTCCCCGGTGTAAGCGTGGCCCATGGCAGCTCCGCACCCTCTCCCCGCTGCCAGAGAGCCGCAGACCTCCTCGCCTGCTGTTTCCAGCTGTAAAGCAAAGACACGCGCCTACAGTGAAGCCCGGCTCAAAACTTGCCAGCCTGTCACCCCCGGCAGCACCGGTGCTCCTGCTCCCGCAGAACGGCATCAGCCGCCTCCGCTCGGGGCACGGGCTCCGGGAGAGGATGGAGAGAAGGCGGGAGGGACCCACCGACCCGCTGGCACTTCTGAGCAGGTTTCACTGCGCCTTTCTCAAGCCTCTCTGGACACGAGTCCCAGAAGGTCTCACGCGTTCACTTGAAGAAAGAAAAACCTGATGGAAGAGCCGGGCAAAGCCGAGGGAGAGGCTGAAGGACCTTCTCCCTCCTCTCACGCTCCCGGGCTCAGTATTGCCGTAGGTTGAAAAACCCGACGCTGGTGGGGGACTCCTTGACCGTCACTGTGATCAGGTTAGCGGTGACGTCGGTGACAAAGACGTGCTCGATCAGGCTGCGGGTGGGTTTCCAGTCCTGGCTGGTCTGGATAGAGACAGACATGTTCTGACCCACGCCCGGGAAGGATGCCGAATCCCGGTCTGAATCCGAGCTGGTTTCTTCGCCTGTGCTCACTTCGGAAAGGGTGGCCGGCTTGCGGTTCTCCGTGGCCGCGTGCCCCTCCTGCGTGCCGGCTGTGCCGCTTTTGGCCAAGTCCCTGTCGCCTGCCCGGTGCGCCTGCTTCTCGCTCTTGCCGCCATCCCCTCCCGAGAGCACAC